TAATCATTGCTTTTTAAAACCCAGTTCACTGAGGGAACATTCAAATTGTGTCTGGTACATTAAAAAAAAGGGACACGTTTGGACGATGACAAGAATTTTGTTGTTATCAAATTAAATGGAACTTCTCGCACACTACCTTTCAAAATTCGAGAGCTGAAAGGTTAAAAACTGTTACGCACTTTAAGACGATAAAATTGGTTCTCTCTTTTCGATTTTTTCGGGTTGTGCTGCTCAGGCCTGCAATTTTGTTTATCTTCTTCAAAAGAATTTGCACTCAAAATAATACTCCTCTTAGAAAATGGTCAATGTCTGATACCCACTGTGTAACCTGTTCATCCCAGAAAATGCTTGTTTGAAGGATTCAAGTAAAAATATCAGCGACATTATGGCTTAGATTTTCAAATTAAAATTATCCTCTGGCATGAAACTTCCGAGAGTCGTGATATCTGACTCCATTCTAGGCTAATAAAAAATGTTAGTGAACTTTTGGTTTCAAGAATTTTAACTGAATCTTATTTTCTACATTAATAACATTTACGATTTTCAGTCTTTTCGTATAAATAATAGGATTATCCTGTCCTAAATGGAATGAAATGAATGAAAAACTCTAGGTTAGCTCTGTTTCCTTCGCTGATGGGATAATAAGTTCAATACAACCCTTTTCCTTTCCCCCCCTGAAAAGGGCTGTTCAAAAGATTTCTTATTTAGGGGTAGTTTCCCATTTCACAAGAATGATTTAAAAAATTTGTGTCCTTTATCTTTTTAAATGTAATGAACCTGGATAAGGTGAAAGTCGTAAGGGTGCATGTTAAAAGGCGAAAGTTACTGTGAAACTCACCTTTCCCTCTCAGATAGCTGACCTAATCTTTTTCAGTAGTGCTCTCGCTCTGAAAAGTAGAACGTCGTGTACCTAGTGTGTAGATTAAACAGCCTTTAAGTAGAACAGCCTAGGAATTATTTCAACTATTCAAACAAAGCCTCGTGAATAGGTAAGTGCCTTTTAATCCAATCATAGCTGCAATGCAACGTCCAAAACAGGTGATCAAAATGAAAAAAAAATGTTAATATCATTACTCTCGTAATTTGCGTCTCTTCGTT